TGTGAAGAAACGTAACAAAATACTATGGGTCCTGGCTTACAAAATTCATGCTAACTAGACGCGGATCCAGACCTTCGCCCACTGCGCCCAGGCAAAGGTCGGGGTGAGAATTCAAAATAAAATGTTGACCATTTTTTCCAACAATCATACTTACTTTCCTTGACACTTATTTTGAACATTACCATTAGGAAAATGTTTAAATCCACATTATCCTATACCTTACACTTTTAAACTGAGTGTACTGTAGGCCCTACCAGAGAGAGAGAGAGAGAAAGAGGTATATTTCCAATACATTATGGTCTTCCACTTCTATAGCGCATGATACAGTGCATAACAAACGTTATGTAACCACTAATAATACTTAGGTCCAGTGGCGTAGGTATGGACAGTGCAGTCAGTGCACAGCACTGGGGCCCGGGGCTATTGGGGGCTCGTTCAATAGGTCTAATGATCTAAAAAATATAACTTTAAAAAAATCCTATTTAAACTTTAAAAGGACTCTTCAATAATAATAGGTTTTAGATGCTATATATTATTGATTAAATTCATTACAATTTACGACACTGACTATATTCATTACAATTTACCTATTACCTTTTTCCCAAACGCTGCAAGTTAAAAAACAACAAGAAACAAGCCCTTACGTATACACATAAAGAAGGCAATGCTAACTCAATAATTGACAATGTTTATGCCAATAATGACATGATTAGTAATGTTGCTTCGCATGAAGGCTTAGGTAGTGATCACATAGGTGTATCGTTTAATATCAATATTAAAAATGAAACCATAACTAGACCCAGTGGGTCCTTCTATTTTTACTCAAAAATTAATACATGCGAGTTTATTGAATGTTTTTCCTCATCAAGCTGGGACTTAGATTGCACTAATGTTGATACTGCTTGGAAAAGCTTTAAATCTAAGTTTTTAGACAACTTAAACAGGGTTGACCTACGCGTAAAGCAAAAGAGCCTGGATCACGAAAGGCATTCTTATAATGTGTCGTAAGAAAAATCGACTTTTTAAAGCTGCGGTAAAATCAAATGTAGACTCTAAATGGGAAAAATACAAAGTTTTTAGAAATAAAGTAAAGCGTTCAATTAATAAAGCCTACACAGAATATATAAGGAAGCTTTCCACAAAATGTGATAATGGTAAATCTTGTTGGGCTTACGTTCGTAATGCTCGGGTAAAACCAAATGTAAATATTTTTTTTCTAAAGGTAAAGTTGTAACGGATGTTGACGAAATTGCGCAAGCCTTTAACGATTTATTTACTT